TTAGGGGGATTGGCAGAGTGGAAATACAAGAATGTTCATCAATACCAATAGAGCTAGGGGTGGAAACGTGAGAATCTGACAAGATGTTACAAAGGTTACATTTAGCGTAATAGTGGGAAAATGGAATGCACTGAAGGAGCTGGTTAAAAACATGCATAAATGGGTAGAGATTGAAAGGGAAATGAGAGCCCTTATACATCTTTAATAAAGCTTTTGATTTTATTTGGTTGCCTTCTTTCTCGTGTTCTCTGGTTGAAGCAGTCCAGTTTTGTACGTTCGACCAATAGTTGCTCTAAATACTATCTTTTTGGAGGACAGGTTGCATTATCATGCCCTCCCTCTACACCTCTCCTGTAGTGTGGCGGCGCCAGGTCCCTCTTAGCCCTTCCTCAGCTCACTCCCATACAAGTCATTACAATTCTGGCTGGCCGGAATGATGTACAGTAATTATACAACACTTAAATCTATACACAGGTGAATAACTGAGAGCAGTGTTATTGGAAGGTGTCCGACTGACCACTGTGTCAACAACGGTGAGTTAGCTCTAACTCTTGGGACTCGGGCAACTATATTTACTCGTTGTGGTTACTACCACAAACCCTCTAGGAGTGTGGGTAACAAAACCTGGAAGCATTCCACGCACAAGTTCAACTTGCTCTTACAGCGCCAAGCACAGTGGCTCACGGGAAAGTGAGAGAGAGTGACAACTCACCGCTGGCAGGACGAGTGTCGTCACGCTGTGTCCCACAGGTAGCAACACATACTGTTACCCGTGCGTGCGTGCGTGCGTGCGTGTGTGTGTGTACACACACACACACACACACACACACACACACACACACTCACTTCCCTCCAGTTTGCTCCGGTCATAACCACTGTGGCTGGGATGAAGGGCCCAAGTGTCACAATAACACTCGCACACTCTCCATACCTAAACAGTTACTCAATAACACACGCACGCACGCACGCACGCACAGCAAGATTTCGTCAACTTTAGCGCTGCTCAAGAAACTTGTAGCCTAGGCTTTACACACGGAAATAATAATTGTGTGATGCATCAAATGAACAAATCCACAAAGGCCGTGACGATGATTCTATTTGACCATGTCGTAGCTCAGTCGATTAAGGCAGCGTCTGGGATGCTCTCGGACGCAGGTTCGAATCCTCGTCACGGCCCTTGTGGATTTGTAGCCTAGGCTACAGCTTACGCCACATGCCACAAATTGTATTCGTTTAAACCAATAGGCCTAACTAGAATGTGACATTTTACCGACATGGGGCCAGGAATTCGACATACAAATAACGTGGAACAAAACCAAGTTTTCAATTACTCAAGTCATCTGAGGAAGGTGGCTCATGGTACCAGGCTGCTGTTGATCATTCAAGCAAGATTTATCTTGCAACTTCTGCCACCAGGTACTCCCGGCACCCTCAAATATTCCCCCTGTTATATTCATTCATCCACTTGTAAACCTCCATCATGTCACCCCTAACTCTTTGCCTTTCCAGTGAATGCAATTTAAGCTTTGTTAATATTTCTTCATATGAAAGATTTCTAATTTGGGGTATTAACTTTGTCATCCTACGCTGGACACATTCAAGTGAATTTATATCCATTCTATACTACGGCGACCAAAACTGAACTGCATAATCTAAATGGGGCCTAACCAGAGCAAGATATAGCTGAAGAACACCACCAGGTGTCTTGTTACTAACGCTTTGATTAATAAATCCCAGTGTCCTATTTGCCTTATTACGAACATTCATGCATTGATCCTTAGGTTTTAAATTCTCACTAATCATAATTCCCAGATCCCTTTCGCAATCCGACTTTGCAATCTCAACACCATCTAGCTCGTATTTTGTAACTATCTCAAGATAACCTAGCCTCAGAACTTTACATTTATCAGCATTACACTGCGTCTGCCAATCTTTTGACCATTTCAAAACTACTTAGATCAACTTGAAGTGATAGCGAGTCTTCTTCCGTGTTAATTTCTCTACCAATTTTTGTATCATTGGCAAATTTGCAAATGTTGCTACTCAAACCTGAAGCTAAATCATTTATATATATTATAAACAACAGAGGTCCCAAGACAGAGCCTTGAGGCACTCCACTTACATTTTCCCACTCTGACTTAACCCCATTTATACTGTTTCCTTTGGTATAGCCATGCCCTAATCCAACTTAATATAGCACCCCCCCCCCAATACCATGAGCCTCTATCTTGTTAATCAGTCTCATGTGGAACTGTATCAAAAGCTTTGCTAAAGTCAAGGTACACAACATCGTTAACCTTACCACTATCAACTGCCTGAGTTGACAGTGGTCACCAGAAGGGCTTGCGAAGCGACCACAAAGTGTACTATAGTTAACCTTCTAAACAACTCTCCCGAGGTACCACACATGCCACCACATCTTCCGTACTACCTCTCATATTTGTAAATATATTCATTACAATATACGTCTGGCAGTACCAAGATCATTTTATTTATCAGACATATTACAACTGTTTATTTACACAGTATCCAAAACTTAATTTAATTTAATGACATCACGAATTCACAGGTGGGCGGCGTGCAGTTGCAGCAGGTGGGCGGTGTGCAGTTGCAGCAGGTGGGCGGCATGCTGGTGGGCGGCTTGCAGGTGGGCAGCGTGCAACATGCCAGTACACTTTTAACCACCACCACCACCTATGACCTGGCCACCATGTGCAGTGGTAGCAACGAGGAGGGCAAGTGCCGCAGGTCAGGCCGTGGCCAGCCTGCAGTCAGGAACCGGACCATCATTATACACCGTTCCGGCCTTGGCTGCCTTACTTCCGGCCTCCTGTCAAGAGGTGCCCTGCAGGCCCCCCACGGGACGCCCACAGCCTGTAGCCATACCCACTCTGGTCTCTTGTGCCCCACTGAGCTGGGTGTAGCGAGGACGGTGTGGGGGGGGTGGTGTAGCGAGGACGGCGTGTGGGGGGTGGTGTAGCGAGGACGGCGTGTGGGGGTGTAGCGAGGACGATGGAGGGTGTAGCGAGGACGGTGTGGGGTGTAGCGGGGACGGTCTGGGGTGTAGCGGGGACGGTCTGGGGTGTAGCGGGGACGGTCTGGGGTGTAGCGGGGACGGTCTGGGGTGTAGCGGGGACGGTCTGGGGTGTAGCGGGGACGGTCTGGGGTGTAGCGGGGACGGTCTGGGGTGTAGCGGGGACGGTCTGGGGTGTAGCGGGGACGGTCTGGGGTGTAGCGGGGACGGTGGAGGGTGTAGCGAGGACGGTGGAGGGTGTAGCGAGGACGGCGTAGAGGGTGTAGCGAGGACGGCGTAGAGGGTGTAGCGAGGACGGCGTAGAGGGTGTAGCGAGGACGGTGTAGAGGGTGTAGCGAGGACGGTGTAGAGGGTGTAGCGAGGACGGTGTAGCGGGTGTAGCGAGGACGGTGTAGCGGGTGTAGCGAGGACGGTGTAGCGGGTGTAGCGAGGACGGTGTAGCGGGTGTAGCGAGGACGGTGTAGCGGGTGTAGCGAGGACGGTGTAGCGGGTGTAGCGAGGACGGTGTAGCGGGTGTAGCGAGGACGGTGTAGCGGGTGTAGCGAGGACGGTGTAGCGGGTGTAGCGAGGACGGTGTAGCGGGTGTAGCGAGGACGGTGTAGCGGGGACGGTGTGGGGTATAGCGAGGACGGTGTGGGGTGTAGCGAGGACGGTGTGGGGTGTAGCGAGGACGGTGTGGGGTGTAGCGAGGACGGTGTGGGGTGTAGCGAGGACGGTGTGGGGTGTAGCGAGGACGGTGTGGGGTGTAGCGAGGACGGTGTGGGGTGTAGCGAGGACGGTGTGGGGTGTAGCGAGGACGGTGTGGGGTGTAGCGAGGACGGTGTGGGGTGTAGCGAGGACGGTGTGGGGTGTAGCGAGGACGGTGTGGGGTGTAGCGAGGACGGTGTGGGGTGTAGCGAGGACGGTGTAGGGGTGTAGCGAGGACGGTGTAGGGGTGTAGCGAGGACGGTGTAGAGGTGTAGCGAGGACGGTGTAGGGTGTAGCGAGGACGGTGTAGGGTGTAGCGAGGACGGTGTAGGGTGTAGCGAGGACGGTGTAGGGTGTAGCGAGGACGGTGTAGGGTGTAGCGAGGACGGTGTGAGGTGTAGCGAGGACGGTGTGAGGTGTAGCGAGGACGGCGTAGGGTGTAGCGAGGACGGCGTAGGGTGTAGCGAGGACGGTGTAGGGTGTAGCGAGGACGGTGTAGGGTGTAGCGAGGACGGTGTAGGGTGTAGCGAGGACGGTGTAGGGTGTAGCGAGGACGGTGTAGGGTGTAGCGAGGACGGTGTAGAGGGTGTAGCGAGGACGGTGTAGAGGGTGTAGCGAGGACGGTGTAGGGTGTAGCGAGGACGGTGTAGGGTGTAGCGAGGACGGTGTAGAGGGTGTAGCGAGGACGGTGTAGAGGGTGTAGCGAGGACGGTGTAGAGGGTGTAGCGAGGACGGTGTAGAGGGTGTAGCGAGGACGGTGTAGCGAGACGGGTAGAGGGTGTAGGCGGTGTAGAGGGTGTAGCGAGGACGGTGTAGAGGGTGTAGCGAGGACGGTGTAGAGGGTGTAGCGAGGACGGTGTAGGGTGTAGCGAGGACGGTGTAGAGGGTGTAGCGAGGACGGTGTAGAGGGTGTAGCGAGGACGGTGTAGGGTGTAGCGAGGACGGTGTAGAGGGTGTAGCGAGGACGGTGTAGCGAGGGGTGTAGCGAGGACGGTGTAGGGTGTAGCGAGGACGGTGTAGGGGGGTATAGCGAGGACGGTGTAGGGTGTAGGGAGGACGGTGTAGGGTGTAGCGAGGACGGTGTAGGGTGTAGCGAGGACGGTGTAGGGTGTAGCGAGGACGGTATAGGGTGTAGCGAGGACAGTGTAGGGTGTAGCGAGGACAGTGTGGAGGGGTGTAGCGAGGACGGGGAGGTGTTACGGGGGAAGGATAAGCGAGGCCGTCCGCTGCTCCACCACACAACACAGGACATTGCCAAACACGTATTTAGGTTACTTACCTCCATCACCAGCTCGAAGGGGTACTTGTATACCCTCACCGGCGACTGGTAGCTCTGCACCATCTTCACACCTCACACGCAAATTACAATAAATATATTTAAAAATGTAGCACTTAGAGTAGGAGGAAATATCAAGAGGGCGGCACGCACATTACTCCCGTCGGCGGCTGTTCATTCACTGAGGCCGCCTTGGCTGTCAACACAAGATGGAGCCTCATCCAGCCCACACCTCGCTACACCCGATATTATTATCATTTATTCCTTCTTGTACTCGACTTCACGAGACATTCTGTATAGATATTTCTAGTGCTAATGTATTTATGTTTATTTTAAAAATGTTTATAATGTGGGGGAAGAAGGAATTATAAGGTAGGGAGTGGGAGTGAGGGAGGAATGGTGGCTCGCGCACCTTCACTGCGCACAACACAACCCACATAAATATATTCGTTCGATAGCGTACTTTTTCTTTTTTCATAAACTCCGAGAGCTCAATAACACATGTTAGGTTCATACAAGTATTTTTATTTTATCATTTATTTTATATTTTAAATTTAAATTCATGTTTGGGCCACAAGCAAACACGACACAATGAACACAACCATGTATTCCAACACCTCTTACCAGAAGCCTTAAAACCTATCCTTACATTTTCTGGGTCAAATTCGCCCACTGCTCATAGGTTTTCTCTAATCGTTTTTTGACGATTTTAGTATTAATAAACATTTTTTTTAATATAATTAATTACCAAGTAATGACGCAATTCCGACGAGGTTTAATTTTTATGAACTCATATTATAGACCGAACGAGTTGAATGATCATCCCACGTCAACCCTCATTATTGTAAACTAAGCTAGCTATACATGTACAAATATTTATGAATAAAATATTAGAATTTAAAGGAATTTCCTTTACTGGCCTGTCCTGAAATATTGAACATTCATGTACATCAATAGTAATATATTTGGTATATTAGGGTATACAAGGCCGCTGTGTATGGAGGCGACACCATGCAGGCTACAGTGACCTCACTGTACACACCTCTCTGTACACACCACACTGTAACAGGGTTGCCAGACTGGGCGACAAGTAGCGAATTTGGCTACTTTTTAAGGCCCCGCTCTCCCAAATTTTTAATTTTGTTACTTGCGACTTTTTGGGCTATTTTAAAAGCAAGTTGGGCTATAAAAAAAATCAATGATGATTATTTATGCTTTATAATATAATGTGTACAAATCACAGCCGCATTCAACAGCCTGACTGACTAGACCACTTACCATAGGAGGCCTGGTCAGAGACCGGCCCCTGGGGACATTGATCCTAGGAACCTTTGAAAGAAAAAGTAACCGCAAGGCAAGGTAATCCTCCCCAGGGGCCAAAGATTTCCCAATCTTAATTGTCATTAATACTTCATCCCAAAAGCTACATCTGGTTCCACAGATCTTCATTAACTTAAAGAGAGAACGTTATCTAGAAATTTACAAATTGATAAATGGTGGGAAAGATCCCTTACAGTTAATACCTTTATCAGGAACACGATGGTTGGCAAGGAGCTGAAGTGTAATGTGGCTGTTAGATCATTCAATTTCTTTTTTTATTATGCACCCCATACCCATCCCGTGGGCGGTGGTGTAAAGGATTACAGAGGCACATAATCGGCTCAGGAACTGAACCCTCTAGTTCGTTTAGCTAAGCAAATAATCTTTTGACGCTAGTTACAAAATTTTTAATGTAATATATACATGTACATATACTCATGCATACATGTACATATACATACGTATACATATATACATACACATACATATTTAATCACCCACACAAATACACACATCAATAATCTTTTGTGTCACAAGTGATTCAACAAGAGGCTCACAACAGTCACTATACAAGGCACTTTACATCTATAGTGAGTCACACAGTTACTAGTCTTGCTCCACACCCACCCAACTGGGCGGCAGCTTTACAGTCATGTGCTCCACACCCACCCAACTGGGCGGCAGCTTTACAGTCATGTGCTCCACACCCACCCAACTGGGCGGCAGCTTTACAGTCATGTGCTCTACACCCACCCAACTGGGCGGCAGCTTTACAGTCATGTGCTCCACACCCACCCAACTGGGCGGCAGCTTTACAGTCATGTGCTCCACACCCACCCAACTGGGCGGCAGCTTTACAGTCATGTGCTCCACACCCACCTAACTGGGCGGCAGCTTTACAGTCATGTGCTCCACACCCACCCAACTGGGCGGCAGCTTTACAGTCATGTGCGCTACACCCACCCAACTGGGCGGCAGCTTTACAGTCATGTGCTCCACACCCACCCAACTGGGCGGCAGCTTTACAGTCATGTGCTCCACACCCACCCAACTGGGCGGCAGCTTTATAGTCATGTGCTCCACACCCACCCAACTGGGCGGCAGCTTTACAGTCATGTGCTCCACACCCACCTAACTGGGCGGCAGCTTTACAGTCATGTGCTCCACACCCACCCAACTGGGCGGCAGCTTTACAGTCATGTGCGCTACACCCACCCAACTGGGCGGCAGCTTTACAGTCATGTGCTCCACACCCACCCAACTGGGCGGCAGCTTTACAGTCATGTGCTCCACACCCACCCAACTGGGCGGCAGCTTTATAGTCATGTGCTCCACACCCACCCAACTGGGCGGCAGCTTTACAGTCATGTGCTCCACACCCACCCAACTGGGCGGCAGCTTTACAGTCATGTGCTCCACACCCACCCAACTGGGCGGCAGCTTTACAGTCATGTGCTCCACACCCACCCAACTGGGCGGCAGCTTTACAGTCATGTGCTCCACACCCACCCAACTGGGCGGCAGCTTTACAGTCATGTGCTCCACACCCACCCAACTGGGCGGCAGCTTTACAGTCATGTGCTCCACAGCCACCCAACTGGGCGGCAGCTTTACAGTCATGTGCTCCACACCCACCCAACTGGGCGGCAGCTTTACAGTCATGTGCTCCACACCCACCCAACTGGGCGGCAGCTTTACAGTCATGTGCTCTACACCCACCCAACTGGGCGGCAGCTTTACAGTCATGTGCTCCACACCCACCCAACTGGGCGGCAGCTTTACTGTCATGTGCATGCATTACTTACAGTAAGCAAATTTTGGATACTTCGCTAAGATTTCGGGCAGCACATCATTATGAATGAAGTACTTACACATTTCTTGGAAACCATTGATGGTGTTCTCTAAATTCCGCGATTTTTTTCACATTCCATTATATTATGACGCAAAGTATGCGAATAGTTCTGCTGACAGAGTTTACACATAGTCAAATCTACATCAGCAGATGTTATAAATTCCCAGAGGTACTTGTGTTAGATCATTGGGATTCAGTGGCACAATGGGCCCCATAGTTACTATAAGTACTATCTAAACAGGAGGTGGATGGGCTGCATAATGCATTCAAGAACAGCCCGTGTTCCCAATTACTGACCCCGCCCAGGATGTAATCCCATAACAAGCTGACTAACTCCTGAGTACCTACTTACTGCTTGCTAAGGAAACAAAGGCATTAGGGGATAGGATATATGCCTAATCATTTCTGTCCCACCCGGGATTTGATCCCAGAATTCTCGATTGCAAGTCTTGAACGACCCTGACTGTACTACCGAGACCCTCTTTTACATCAGATACATTGTTTGTAACATTTCTGATAGTGTAAGGTATTATTACGTGTACATATTTGCCTGATTACGTATCCTGTTGTTGTAAGTGTATGTTGTAAGTGTATTACGTATGTTGTAAGTGGAGTGCCTCAAGGCTCTGTCCTGGGACCTCTGTTGTTTATAATATATATAAATGATTTAGATTCAGGTTTGAGTAGCAACATTTGCAAATTTGCCGATGATACGAAAATCGGTAGGGAAATTAATTCGGAGGAGGACTCACTATCACTTCAAGTTGATCTAGATAGGGTTTTGAAATGGTCAAAGGATTGGCAGATGCAGTTTAATGCTGATAAATGTAAAGTTCTGAGGTTAGGTAATGATGATAGAGTTACAAGATACGAGCTAGATGGTGTTGTGATTGCGAAGTCGGATTGCGAAAGGGATCTGGGAGTTATGATTAGTAAGAATTTAAAACAAAAGGATCAATGCATAAATGTTCGTAATAAGGCAAATCGGACACTTGGATTTATTAATCGCAGCGTTAGTAACAAGACACCTGGTGTGGTTCTCAAGCTATATCTTGCTCTAGTTAGGCCCCATTTAGATTATGCAGTTCAGTTTTGGTCGCCATATTATAGAATGGATATAAATTCACTTGAACGTGTCCAGCGTAGGATGACTAAGTTAATTCCCCAAATTAGAAATCTTTCATATGAAGAAAGATTAACAAAGCTTAAGTTGCATTCACTGGAAAGGCGAAGAGCTAGGGGTGACATGATAGAGGTTTACAAGTGGATGAATGGACATAACCGGGGGGATATTAATAGGGTATTAAAAGTATCAACACAGGACAGAACACGAAACAATGGATATAAATTAGATAAGTTTAGATTTAGGAAAGACTTGGGTAAATACTGGTTCAGTAACAGGGTTGTTGATTTGTGGAACCAATTGCCGCGTAACATTGTGGAGGTGGGGTCCCTCGATTGTTTCAAGCACGGGTTGGCCAAGTATATGAGTGGGATTGGGTGGTTATAGAATAGGAGCTGCCTCGTATGGGCCAATAGGCCTTCTGCAGTTACCTTTGTTCTTATGTTCTTATGTTCTTATGTTATCCTGGCCGAGGAGGAGTTACTGGCCGCAAATCCTTAACTGTAGCCTCTGTTTAACTCAACAGTAAAATGTGTACTTGGTTGTTAAAACGATTCTTCGTATTCCAGCGTCTGGAAGTCGTATTCCGGGGAACATAAGATTAAGGACCTGCCCGAAACACTACGGGTACTAGTGGCTCTACAAGAATGTAAGAACTCTTGTATATATCAATAAAAAAACTTGAAGAATGGAGAAGTAATTTTGTACAATTAAGGAGACGCCTTAGATGTCGGTTGACGGCAAATATGAATTTTGCTTATTTGGAAAAAGAATTTTTCCCAGGTCAGGATAAGGATTTGGGATGGGAAGGGGGAAAGGAATGATGCCCAACCACTTGGACGGTCGGGGATTGAGCGCCGACCCTGAATGAAGGGAGACCGTCGCTCTACCGTTCAGCCTAAGTGG